AGGCACTTGTGCCGCTGAGCTATATCCCCAGCCCATTTTTTTTTTTTTGTCTTTTTGAGACAGGGTCTCACTGTGCAATGCAGGCTGACCTTGAGCTCACTTTGTAACCCAGGCTGGTTTTAAAAAGGATTCTCCTACCTCAGCCCCCCACCAACCCCTCGAGTGCTGGGATTACAGGCATGCGCCACCACCCCTGGCCTGTGGTAAATTTTTAGCTATCTTATTTGTTGCTCCAGCTATAGTAGCTGGGCATCTCTTTGGGGATGTAAACTGTCATCTTTTTGGGGGCATTGCTCTCGTAGAGTTTTTAAGAACTCATCACCTCAGCTGTGAGCGTGCTGTGCTGTCACTGTGCACTTGACGTGACTGACACCATGTTCCTTACTGTTAGGACAGAAAGGAAAAGAAGCAGGGGTATGAGCTCAGCAGGAGAGGTTTATTTCAGAGCAAACCCGAGAGGGAAAACTCTGGCACCGGAGACCTGCTTTTAGGCCTGCGGCCGATGTGTGGTCAGAGGTCCGTCAGGCCCACTAAGCACAGCCACCCCCTGTAATGCCCAATTACTGCTCAGCTCTGCTCTTGACAAACAACATACAACCCCTGTACCTCCTCACTCCTGGTAGGTCCTCCAGCCGCGTCTCGGTGAAGAGCCACACTCCTCTGTACTGAACTCCTCCCTGGAAAGTCGCACTGTGACTTTTTCCTTCCACAGCCTTCCCCACTTTGTCTTTTAAAGATAGGGTTTCCGCTCTGCAGTTCAGGCTGGCCTTGAACTCACTTTGTAGCCCAGGCTGGCCTCGAACTTAAAGTGATTTTCCTGCCTCAGCCTCCTGAGAGCTGGGATTACAGGCCTGGGCCACCATGCCAGGGCAGCCCCCCATTGTTATGCAAAGCAGGGGGAAGGGATTTAAAGTGGTCTCTGCTTAGACCAGGATGGCAGTGGTCAGATTCCTTCACTTCCATCCACTTTTTTTTTTTTTTTTTTTGTTTTTTTTGTTTTTGAGACAGGGCTTGAACCGGTAGTTCAGGCTGGCGCTTGCCAGGCAGGCTCTTTTTGAGACAGAGTCTCACTATGCAGTTCAGGCTGGCCTTGAGCTCACTTTGTAGCCCAGGCTGGTCTCAAACTTGGAAGGATTCTCCTGCCTCAGCCTCCTGAGTGCTGGGATTACCGGCGTGCGCCACCACCCCGGGCACATCCATCCACTTTGAAAAGAGAATGTTGTCCTCACCCTAAGGGTCCAATCTCATGGCCTTTCTTCTTAGTCCGGTTCTCCACGGAGGGACACCAGGCTGCCTTCACCATCCGCATAAGACATCCTCCCAACCCCCGGCTGTACCCACTCGGGTCTCAACCCCAGGGAGGTGAGGCTGGTGGGGAACAAGCTGGGGGAGGGCACCCCCGGGGGAGGGCGTCTTCCCGCTCCTCTCCCCGTTGCGTCCTGTGCGCGGGTTACAACCCTGAGTCCCCTCTCTCAGCCCAGTACGACATCAGCACCTTGGTCACCATCGCCACCAAGACGTTCCTTCGCTATGATCGGCTACGGGCCCTCATAGCCAGCATCCGTCGCTTCTACCCCACCGTCACTGTGATCATCGCTGACGACAGCGACAAGCCAGAGCGAATCAGCGGCCCTCACGTGGAGCACTATCTCATGCCCTTCGGCAAGGTGCGCCGCGGGCGAGGCTGAACTTTGCGCCTGTGCACTTAGGAATGGGGTGCGCTCTTAGCCTGCAGGCCTCCAGGGTAGTAACTGGAAGTTTGCCTCAAAATATGACAGGTAGGAGGAGTGTGGAGCTCGAGGATTCTTGGCATGTAAGCGCTCTGAAGAAGGGAGAATCGTGCCTGTCTTATTCACTCTGAATTTTTCCTTTCTTTTTTTTTGGTTTTTCTGAGACAGTCTCCCTGTACAGTTCAGGCTGGCCTTGAGCTCACTTTGTAGCCCAGGCTGGTCTCGAACTCACAACGATCATCCTGCCTCAGCCTCCCTAGTGCTGGGATTACAGGTGTGCGCCACCACGCCCGGCCACTCTGAATTCTTAAGGTGGTTCTTAATACCTACTGGGCCGTCAGTAAGAACTGACGACTTAGTGAGTGAATGCAGGCCGGAATCACAGCTTTCAAGACCCTCCCCCCTCAGGCACTAACTTGACCTCTAGGCGGGAGAGTAGGAATCTGCATTTTTTTGGACCCAGCTTCCGGTAATTGGAAGGCATCCCGCAGTGGAGAGAAGGGCACAGGCTGCTGCAAGCGGGCAGAAGAGGAAGAAAAGCCTTGCAGGGCCGCGTGGTTTCCGCAGACTTCCTAACCAGACCCCCCACCCCGTGCGCGCCTCCAGGGCTGGTTCGCAGGGCGGAATCTGGCGGTGTCCCAAGTCACCACCAAGTACGTGCTGTGGGTGGACGACGACTTTGTCTTCACGGCGCGCACGCGGCTGGAGAGGCTTGTGGACGTGCTGGAGCGGACGCCGCTGGACCTGGTAGGCGAGGGCGCGGCCGTCGGTGGGAGGAAGACTCAGGCGGGCGGGGAGAGGCCGCGGCAGCAGCGCAGCGGGGGCGGGCGAGTCCTGGGAGGAAGCGCAGCCCCCGTCTCGGGCCTCGCCCCACCCGCAGCCACACCCCGCTCCCCGCAGGTCGGGGGCGCGGTGCGCGAGATCTCGGGCTTTGCCACCACCTACCGGCAGCTGCTGAGCGTGGACCCCGGCGCCCCAGGCCTGGGGAACTGCCTCCGGCAAAGGCGCGGCTTCCACCACGAGCTGGTGGGCTTCCCCGGCTGCGTGGTCACCGACGGGGTGGTGAACTTCTTCCTGGCGCGCACCGACAAGGTGCGAGAGGTTGGCTTCGACCCGCGCCTCAGCCGCGTGGCGCATCTGGGTGAGTGGCGCCCCCTCCCGGCCGGACAGACCCCGCGAGGGCGCCGCGCGTCTCCGTGCAAGCGGGCGGCGGGGCGCTGGCCCTGGTCCCTGCACCCCCGCCCCGCAACAGTGCGGCAAAGCGCTACCTGCCAGCTGCGAGAGGACTCCACCCTCTCCTGGCCACCTTGTCCCGCCCCGCAAACTATTCAAACCCCACACCCCCACCCCTAGCCGCTGGGCCCGCCTTGAACTTCCCTGCCACTGTCGGGGTCACCCCTGCTCCACCTGCACCTGCCTCCCTAGCTCCGAGCGCACTCCAGTCGCTCCTGCGGCATTTATTGACCCTCTGGGAAGGGGATGTAGGGTTGTTTTGTTTTTGTTTTTGTTTTTTGTCTTTTTGAGACAAAGTCTCCCTATGCAGTTCAGGTCGGCCTGGAGCTCACTTTGTAGCCCAGGCTGGCCTCGAACTCGCAACGATCCTCCTGCCTCAGCCTCCCGAGTGCTGGGATTACAGGCGTGTGCCACCACGCCCGGCTGGGAAGTAGGTTTTGCCACTTTCAAAGCACTAGACAATATCGTCTCTGTTTTACATAGAACATTCCCATGCTGAAGTCTTTAAAAAAGAGTCTTTGGGGGCTGGGGATTTAGCTCAGCGGCACAGCGCCTGCCTGGCAAGCGCAAGGTCGTGAGTTCGATTCCCGGAAAAAAAAAAAAAAATGAATGAAAAGGAGTCTTTACACAGTCACCGCCCCCCCATGCCCTAAATGTCAGTTCCGGTTAGGGGTGGGCCTTCCGTGCTCTCAGGGCCTTCACTGTGGGCCCCCTTTCCCTCCCTCCCAGAGTTCTTCCTGGACGGACTCGGTTCCCTTCAGGTCGGCTCCTGTTCCGACGTCGTGGTGGACCACGCATCGAAGCTGAAGCTGCCCTGGATATCGAGGGACGCTGGCGCGGAGACGTACGCCCGGTACCGGTACCCAGGATCCCTGGACGAAAGTCAGGTGGCCAAACACCGCCTGCTGTTCTTCAAACACCGGCTGCAGTGCATGACTGCGGAATGATGGCCACCGAGGCCTTGCCCTTGTCAGGCTGTGCCTGCCGCCGCCGCCTCCTCCTGCTCCTCCTCCTCGTCGTCCCTGCTAGGACCTTGGGCAGCCCCTCGGCCCAGTGAGCACTCCGCGGACTGCCCCTGGCCGCCGTCCCGCACACCTCCCCTTGAGAACCTGACCCCACGCAGGGGTTTGTCCTGGCGACGCTCCTCTCTTCTGAGTGCCCAGGTGCCTGATGGAGCCATAACCTCTCCCACAGCCAGTGCCAAGTCCTCCCCCACCCCATTCTTAGGGGCCGGAACTGGGGGGGTCACTTTCCAAGTGCCAAAGAGCCCGGGAGGACTCTAAGACCCTGAAGAGGAAACACTGTCCTCGTCTCCTTGGGCTGAGGGGGCGGGGAAGCTCCGCAGTGTGCAGTTCCGGGGCGCGCTCCCCACCCTGAGCTCTGGATCCGGACGGCGCAGGCTCCGGCCCACCTCCCAGAGGGACCCGTGGCTCTGGGGCGGGGCGGGGCTGGTGAACACATGGTGAAAGCCGTTCTTGCTGGTGTCTCTCATGCTGTGGGCACAGAGGGAGGGACACCAGGGCTCGACAGGCAGACACCCAGACCCGCTTCATGGACCCCCATTTTATTAGTGACATTAAGCGGGCTCGGGGACCTGGCCCTTCTCACATACATTGGTGGAGCCCTCCACCTCCCGCGCGACCCGGTCAGACCCACACCGTGCAGATCTTTGGGGCAGCGTGCTCCTGGGGAAGAGAGGGGACAAGTGGGGTACACGGGGCGCCTGCTCCCTCGCTGGGGTTTAGCAGTACTGTACCACTCCTTTGGGACCCAGTCTTCAGTTCCTCATCAAATTTGGCCCAGTCTCCCAGACTTCTGGAATCCACTATTCTTTTTCTTTTTGAGACAGGGTCTTACTATGCAGTTCAGGCTGGCCTTGAGCTCACTTTGTATCCCAGGCTGGCCTCGAACTAGCAATGATCCTCCTGCCTCAGCCTCCGGAGTGCTGGGATTTTTTGTTTGTTTTTCTTGCGGTACTAGGAATCGAACTCACGACTCTGCACTTGCTAGGCAGGTGCTGTGCCACTGAGCTAAATCCCCAGCCCCGAGTGCTGAGGTTACAGGCGAGCACCACCACGCCCGGTGACCCCCCGCTTCTCAAATTCCTGTTCTTGGGTTTTCACCCACCACCCTCCTTTCCCTGGCCCAGCCAGGAGTTCCTGGCCCCGTTCCAGATGCCCCTGCCCCTTACCAGTCTTGCCATGGCGTGTGCAGCTGCGTCCTGGACACTCACAAACAGCTGGTCTGGAGTCACTCTGTCCAGGAGTCCTGCCCGGGTCAGTGTCTCCAGTACTGAGGCTGTGTGGGGAAGAGTGTTGGGCTCAGGGGGCCCTGGGTCCCCACTGTGTGCCTCCCCTCCACTCCAAGTGTCCAGTCAGCCCCCAGGCGCACACCCCTCCGCCCACCACTGACCGTTACACTGAGCTAGGAGCAGGTGGATCCCGCCATCTTGGCACCGGCTGGCTAGCTGCAGGGTGGGCAGAGGGGTTGAACCCCAAGTCAGAGGGTGTGCGGGGGATGATGAGGGTTTCTTTTTTTTTTTTTCCGGTACCGGGAATCGAACTCACAACCTTGCGTTTGCCAGGCGGGCGCTGTGCCGCTGAGCTAGATCCCCAGCCCCGATGAGGGTTTCTTGTAAAGCTCCCCACTCCCTCACCTGCGCCACTTCCCTGGCCCCAGCGGCATCTGCAAAGGTGACGCCACTGAAGTCTAGGATCACCACTCTGACAGGCTCGCCAACTAGGACGGGAGAAGGCAGGGACGTTCATACACCTCCGTGGGTCGGGGCCAAGTCTTCCTCCTTGCCAGCCCACCTCACCTGTGTCGGGCAGGCCGTCTGGCTTTGGAGCCCGCTGTGCGGAGAGAGGGGCGTCGTCACCCCCGTACAAAAGCATGGACGCGCACCCCTTGAGCACGGACTCCTCAGGACGCATACCTGCCTCCCAGTCCCGGAGGATCCACTCTTCCCCCTGACCAAGTTCCTCACCTCCTTGTCCCCTCCAAGCCCCAGGTGCCGCTCCAAAACGCGACGAAACTGACCACGTGTCCCGAAGTACAGCGGGGTGGGGTAGCTCAGGACGCAGAGCCCTGGGACCTGGAGGAGCTGCGGGTGAGAGGGTCAGAACAACATCCGGGTCTTTTTTTTTTTTTTGT